GCCAGCTGTACCCGCCCCCTCCCCCGTCCGTTCCGCCAGTCACCTCTAGCAGATCGGAGCGGGGAGAGGGGAATCCAGCCCCTCCCCCTGTCACGGCAGAGAGCCGTGACAGGATCGAGAGGTGAGCGAACCCGGTATGTGTTCCCTCACCTCCCGATCTACTGAGCCGACCTGTGACAGCCTCATTGTCACAGGTCGGCTAGAACTGAGGTGAGTGGAAATCACTCATCTCATAGTTCTCCTTTAAGGATTTTGTTATCTGTGTATACACTGGGAGGAATTCCACTCTCTTCCCGTCTACAAGTGATGGTGTCAAACAGAAGAGGAAGTAAAGAGAAATCTCCTCCATGGAGACAATGAGGAATAATGTGGGGGAAAGGAAACCATAGAGAAAGCTAGTTTTCAGGAGCTTTGCTTTCCATACACTACTTTCCTACAAACAAGCAACAGATCCAATTTATAAAGCAATTCCTGAAATCAAGAAAAGCTAATAACGTAAGTAAAGCAATCTAGGAATCAATGTAACAGTGATAATGTCAGAAAGGCCACTCCGTTTATCTTGGGGTTCCATTTGCAGTGGGCAAGTTTCCTTTTTTCTTTGTAACTTCCTTTCTCTTTGCTTTATGGATCACCGATATTTCCTTCACTTCCTGTGTCATAACAGGAAGTACGATAAGATCGCTCCAAAGTAAATGAAATGCTCTCTCAGATCGTTGTCAGTGCAACAAATGTCCCTGTTGGTAGATTACCACTCTGTTTATGTTCCACTGACAATGCAAAATATTGGCTCTCCTCCGATTTAAGCTGGCCATACACCAGTAGAATTTCTTTCAATACTTTTATTTCTCGGAATGTTCATTGAATATTCTAATGGTTAGTGGAGTCTAATCGGCGTTTGTTGACAACCATAGTGATGAGGAACACAAAAGGAGCACCATGGAAACTTTTTCTCGCTTTTTATCTAAACGAAAAAAATTCTAACCGTGAATGCGATTTTCGTTCAGGAAAAATGTCTAATTCCATTCAAATGGTAGGTCTGGATGCATTTTTTTTCCAAATGAATCTTCTTGACTCAATGGCAAGATTGAATGTTCTCACAAACAGTGTATGGCCAGCTTTGCAATACCAGTATAAAGATGATCATCAAGACAAACAGAAAGAGTGAAGCACCCAAGCATGGAACAATAAAAACCTGACTGAGATTCTAACCCATCCCTACTCTATCCAAAATGAAAATAAAAATCTTTCTGCTTTTTTCATACAATTTAAAACAGCAAGTAAATTTGGATGACAACCGTAAGGCCTTGTTCACACCAAATGCAGAGCAGATCCGGTTAGGTTTCTGCACACACAGTGCAGTGGGCTGTGCCGTGTTTTTGATGCGTTCCGGGCCGGTTTTGGTTAAAAAAATAATAATAATTTTTTTTAAGTTTAACATGGGCTTTCAGGCACTTGCATGCGTTTTTGATGCGTTTTTGATGCGTTCCAGAGCAGATCCAGAGCAGGTAAAATAGGGCTTGCCACAGTTTTTTCACCTGCTCTGTATCTGGTCTGGATCTGCACGCTGCGATGTGAACTGGAGGTCAAAATACCATAGGAATACATTGGACGCAGTTTTGATCCGGTCTGCACCTGCTCTGGATCTGCTCCGCGCTTGGTGTGAACAAGGCCACAAAAAAACCAAAAAAAACTCAGCAAATAACCCAAAGTCACTGAAGAAGAAAAGTTTCACTGCAGACAGAGAACTTTAGAGGCCTATTGACACCTTCACATCCTGCTGCGTTGTGTTAATGTGCATTATCTTTCATGTTAATTTGCACTGTGTTAAGGCAGCCTATTCTCAAAAAGGACTGCCAACACACCAGAACACCCAAAAAACAGACAACCACCAAATTTTCAAATGCTGTGCACCTCAACCCAGGGCAATGCGTTACCATACAAAGCATGCATGTGTGTCGCCTTAGTGTGTTGGGGTGTCAGTGAAAATTAACAGAACCGCAACACATTAACATGTGTATAAGACCAGATCTGCATGAGTTTCTGCACATGTAGTGCAGTGTGTTATACCGAGTTTTTGATGCGTTCCTGGCCGTTTTTTTTAAAGTTTAAAATGGGCTTTTCAGTGCGTTCCAGGGCGTTTGCATGCATTTTTATGCGTATGCATGCGTTCCAGAGCAGGTAAAATAGGGCTTGCTGCAGTTTTTTTTACATGCTCTGGAACTGAACGCTGCAGTGTCAACTAGAGCCCAAAATACCATTGGACGCAGTTTTGATCCGGTCTGTAACTGCTCTGCTCCTGGAACCCGCTTGGTGTGAACAAGCCCTCACAGAACACCATAACCAAGAGGTTTGAATGGGCCCTTAGCCATCAGCCTTCTGTCAGTACGGAATCGCAGATGAGAAAACAGCACGTGCTATACTTTTTTTTTTTTCCAGTACAATGGAACGGGATACCTAACACCCACCATTCACCACACTGTGCCCATAGAACTGAATGAAATGTCACTTGTCACTCAATAAAGTGTACAGTGCAATGTGCCAGGATCGGCCCCTCTGCACTGTGCCAGGTAACGCAGTGGCTGGTGTGAATTGGCCTTAAATCCACCAAGAATGGTGCAATGCAACACCAAGGAAAAGCCTTACATTTGGTTACAAATAGGCATGACGGTGTACTATATACAATTAAGCTTCGTTCAAGTCACCTCCCTATTCTAAATAGCTAGGGCAAAAAAAATAAAAACATACTACTTACTTTGGACCGAGGCTTACAGTTGCTTTGAGGAGTGGTGGTGACATTTTTTCTTTCCAATGGGATTCTGGGAAAGCTAAGAATGTCAAAACGCACAAGATGTGCTCCTACACTAAATCTCACAAGTCCCTTTGTGACAGCCTTAGGAGGTGACAGGTTCTCTTTACTGAACCTGTCACTTCCAATACAGGAGTTCCAACATGATCTCCTGTGACAGCTGAGACAGGAAGGCTGTGAGTATAGGCTTCCTGTGTCAGTGTTCACATGGAGCAGACCAGAGAATGGACGTTTTCCGCTCTGCTCTCCATCAGGAAACCCATGCATCCATTGCTGGGCTGAATGTGGGCTGGAAGTGACAGCAAACAGACTCTCAGGAAATCAGCAGCACTCAGATACCACAGAAAATGTAAAGCCTAGGCATGGGGAAAACACAAAACTCCCATTACAATGGGGATGCCCTGGCACTGCAAGAAATGAGGGTATTGGGAAAAGCAGCTCCCCACTTCCCCGTTAGTTGGTACTCACCTGGTCTCCCCTACTGTCCAGCATGTGGACTCTCCCTCAGAGTCTTCACATATAATGCACTAGGGACCCTGCACTGTACTTGATGACAAGCCAGCAGGAGCGAGGATCAAGTAAGTAAAAGTCTCTTTCCCAGGTACCCTAGACTTATACGAGCATTTAACTTCCGTGCTGCAGGGGCAGACCCACTGCAAGAGGAGTTTTTGGGGTTTTCCCAGAGTTAAGCTTTAAAAAAGTATGTTACTAAAAAAGCAAATGTTTATGATACACAGTTTATCAGCAAACAAAAGCTGGTCATATGCTGGAAATACAGCAGGAATGGGCTTTCATTTAAGGAACTGGCCTGAAAGTTCTCGGCTGAACCGTTACGGTTTGGGTATTCTGACAGCCTGTTAGAAAAAAGCCCAGCTATAGCGTGACAGAGCTGTGGGAGGGGCCCAGTAAGTCCACCCACTACTGGTTACCTACACAAGACTACAGGAGGGGGTGGATACAAGACCAGTCATCCCGCACAAAAAGAGAAAGCAACAGTGACTGGTCTTTATCACAGGCAACATTTCACGCTGGATTACTGATACACAGAGCACACCAAGATTCAATTAAAAACACACATGCTACATGTATTTAGAAACATATCCCAGATTTCAGCTTTGCGTTATTTATGGGTCATTGACCAGGAATAAGTATAGAGTAAAGAGATTATGATCATTGTTTGACACAGAATGCTTGTTCCAGATCTATGGCTCACAAAAAGTACTGCAACTAAACACAGCCAGACGAATAGCCTTTACAGAAAAGCAACAGCAGCCCCTATACTTCTCCATAGTCGATATCCCTATTTACCGGATCCTCAATATTCATGCTGAACGTAGTCCCAAAATTCTTGGCATAACAGTAACTGCAGTCAATCAGCTGCAGTCGCTGTTTGGGAAACCTGACAGCTGCTGTCAGAATGCAATGGACCAGCAGGGTGAAGAGTCCCCTCTTCCACGCTAGTCAATGCAGACGAGGGAGTCAAGCAGGGCTGAACAAGAGAAATCATAAAGTGTATGGCTAGGATAAATGTCCTTGAGCCCAGTCTTAGATTTACTTTAATGACACTGTAAAAGACCATGATGTCAAAACAATACACTTTAGGCCAGGGGTGGGCAACTCTGGCCGTCCAGCTGTTGTGGAACTACAAGTCCCATGAGGCATTGCAAGACTGACAGTGCCAGGCATGACTCGCAGAGGCATGTTGAAGGAACAGCGATGCCCACCCCTGCCTTAAGGCAATCAACAGTACAATGTTCTATTATTGTATATGATGTAAAAGGCATCCTCTCAGGGTGACAGTCACTCGTGCCAGTGTATGTGAAGAGCAGTCTGATGTATTAGAAGGCTGCACCTCAGGTGAAGGTTTATTAGTATTCAGAAGTGGGGCAGACTAATGTACACTGGGTAGGATACGATAGTGTTAGTACTGTGCCCACAAGCTAGGTCAATACTCCATAGCAGGCTCGCTGTGAAGTGTCCCGAGTTCCCTGTCCTGCTCGGTATGTGACAGGGCTATGGCGGAGAGGTGAAGCAGTCAGACCAGTCTCCATAGGCTGTCAGGGACTCTCCATTGTGCTTCCCTGTCTCTCCCCACAAACACTCTGCCCACACAGCGTGCCCCCACACCACTCCTCGTTCAGCATGCCCGGAACTCGCGTGTAATAAGCCATATTACAGACCTACCCCACGTAGCGTTCGGTATAACCCCGGTGTGTCTGCTCTCTCTCGAGGTTTCTTTCCCAACGTCCGGCCGGTGACGTGCTCGACGCAGGCGCACCACGCCGGCCAAGCCTGCAGCGCCGTGACGTCACGGAGGTACAGGAGGATTTGGCAAGGGTGAGTCTTGTCATGTGTTGACCAATAGGGAGCGAGATGTCGGCTGCGGAGGAACAGAGTGGCGAAGAGCGCACTCCAGTGTAGCAGACTTTCCCAGAGTTGTCAGAGTTTTGGGGGGCGTCGGCTGTATGGCCACTGTACACTAGCCTTTCTTTAAAGTGGAAGTAAAGTTGTAAAAAAAAGCCAACAGACTTTATATGAAAGAAGAGACTGTGTAAGTGCTGATTGATGTCACATGCATTGGGGCTGCGCTGGCCCTTGTTTCCAGCGCAACCTCAACGCAAGACAAGGCAATCTGCCTTGTCACAGACAGGCTTGTTTCACACCACTGCGTTGCAATGGGAACGCGGTGATATGTACAGGAAAAAAAAGTATGGCATGCTGTACTTTTTTTCAGCGCTGTTGAATGTGATGCTGAACAACCACCTCGCACCCCGTTGTGCCCATAGAACTGAATGAAATGTCACTTGTGACATTTCAATAAAGCTGTAACAAAAAAAGGTACACTGATGCAAAGGGATCGGCCAGCTGTGCGTTTAGAGCAGTAGCTGGGGGGCCCATTCACACCACATTCAAATCATCTCCAGACCAGACCAAATTTTTTTCGGGCCCCAAATGCATCCTAAAACATACCTAGGATCTTTCTGGCCTCCCTTCACACCAGCGCAGTCCGTACCAGAAAAATACTGCATGTCTCATTTTGTCTTGTCTGGGACGCATGGAAACACATCAAAAACACATAGGAACGCACCTGAAAGCCCATTTTAGGCCAACAAAAAGCAAAAAAAGAACCAGCTTTAGTACACAGCAAAACGCAATGCACCGCATTCCAGATCTGGTTGAGAAAATGGTGTGAACCTTCCCTGAGGGCCCATTCACACCACATCCAGATCATCTCCAGACCAGACCAGATTGTTTATGGACCCAAAATGCACCATTATTTATTCCCATGCTTGTTCCAGACCAGATGAGAAAAATACTGCATGTCTCATTTTGTCTGGCCTGGATTGCACTGGAACGCATGGAAATGCACCTAAAACGCGTACAAACGCACCTGAAAGCCCATTTTAAGGGCTAGTTTACACCAGAACTGCGTGCCTCTAAGCAGCTGCAATGTGATGCATTTTGCCACGATTGTACTGCGATTATACTGCGATTATTGCATTTTGGTTGTTTTGGGGGTTTTCTTTGCTTAAAATGGGATTTCAGGTGCTTTCCAGTGCATTTGCATGCGTTTTTGATGCGTTTTTTCTGACTGCATTGGAACGGACTGCACTGGTGTGAATAGAGCACCAGAAATCCAATAAGAAAGCATTGTGATGTATTTTGGCTGCAGCAGCCAAACTAGCCCTAACCTATAAAAAAAAAAGGCAAAAAAATAAACTCCTTTGGAACGCAGCAAAATTGCAGTAAAACGTGACAAAAACGCAGCAAACCGCAATACACTGCGTTCCAGATATGGTCCGAAAAATTGTGTGAACCTGCACTAAGAGCCTACTCACACCATATCCAGTGCGTCCCGGTGCAGTACATGCAGCATTTTTTCAGATCGCACTGCACTGGAATGGAGGGCATTCCTGCACCTCGCGTTTCGGTGCGGGCGGGTGGGCGTTGTCTCTGATGCTATTGACATGAATGGCACCGACACACCCCTCCCGACCCAGACTCATGTATGTGATCCAGTGCGTTCCCAGCGGGAATTGCACCAGGACACACTGGATATGGTGTGACTGGGCCCTTAGAGATGAGGGAGACATCTATTGTCTGCCACATACAATGCTGTTTTAACACCTCTTTCTGGGCAGGTTAATAACACCTCCTAGACTCCAATTATGCAAATACAATCAACACCTGGTTATGACTAACAGATTGTGTGGATTGGAGCAACATTCACCATATTTATTCCCAGATAATTTTTTGTACAAGTCATTCTGAATTAAGAAAGCTGGTTGGATGACCAGTGAAACGTCTTCAAGAAAGCTACAGCAAGGCTAGTTGCCTTGACTTATTTTTTACAGGGGCTCATGAAAGCTCATGGCCCCCATTCGCACTAGCATAGTGCGTGAACGCATTCAAACTACACAAAAAAGTGTCATGCTCGGGGTGCCATTCATTGTTAAAGGCACCCCAAACACACCCAGCAAGATCTGCAATTTTCATGCACAAAGCTGTTTGAAAGACACACAAAACTCAAAAAGGCGAATGAGCTTCTTTGTCACATTTGTTGAATGTAGGGCAGCCCATTGAAATGAATTGCATGCCCTGTGTGCGACATGTGATAGAGGTGCCAAATCATGTACATTTGTGACATGCAATGTTGCAAGTGTGAATGGGGCTTAGATATACATAAATGATGAGTACAAACTTTTTAAAATTGTTTTGGATAGAGTGGGGAGGTTTAGAACTCCTGTCAGCCTTTAAGTGTTTTCCGGGGCTCCGTTAGAGAGATTTCCCTTTACTTCCTGTCCTATGGAATCACTGTCTAATTCTTCAGCAATTCGTAGCTCAGTGATTGAATTTTAGCAGCATTGTTGGTGACACAATCGTCAGTGCCGATCCCTCTTCATTTGCCACTATGGGCTTAGCTACAAATCACCAAAGATGAGTAATTCATAGCTGAGCACACTAACCAACGATGTAGCACTAGTGTAGCTTATAGCAGCAACAGATTGTTTCCTAGTGGCAAATCGGCACCTATTCTGGTGATTGAAATGCTAGCTACTAGTCACTGTTATTTGCTGGCATTATGTAGCAGTGTTTAATCCCTGTTACACTATCAGCCGTCTGATATCAGCCTTAAAGGAGAATTATGAGGTGAGTGCTTTTCACTCAGTCTCATAATCTGAGCCGACCTGTGACAATGAAACTGTCACAGGTCGGCTTAGTAGATCGGGAAGTGAGTGAACACATACCGTCGCTCGCTCACTTCTCGATCCTGTCACTGCAGAGAGCCGTGACAGGGGAGTGACTGGATTCTCCCCTCCCCTGTCCGATCCTTCAGCGCTGACTGGCGGAACGGACGGGGGAGGGGGCGGGTACAGCTGGCTCTGCCTCTAGATTGGCAGAGCTAGCTGTCACTCACGCAGCTGGGCGGATCCAGACATCATTGTCGGGATCCGTTTCAGCTGCAGTGTCTTACAATACCGCAAGCTGTAGCTCGCAGTATACTGAGCTTTGGGTGACGGGAGGATGCTAGTTTGTGTCCTCCCGTTACCCTTAGGAGAACTATGGGGAAAATCCCTAACCCCATATTTCTCCTTTAAGCTGGCAATACACATCTCCAATTTTGGCCAATTCCCACTAAATCGGACAAATTCCAGCCATGAGGAACCTGTTGCTATCACCTGATGCAACAAACTGTGACTACAAAATTGAAGGAGGTAGGTGGAAAAAAGTCAGCCAAACAGTGACTGCAGCCAATTAGATACAGTCACCCGTTCAAGTATGTAGACAGCAGCAGGTGCCAGCTGTCTTAATGCAATGTGGATGAGAAAATTTAACGATTTCTGTTGTCGTTCAACTGGCAAGGCTGAACTATGAAAAATCCTAGTTATGGTTAAGAATATATACTGTATGTAATTCCATCATTCAGAAGAGCTGGCTTCTTGTGTAAATTGAGTTATTTGCACCAGTGTTCGTTTTGTTGTCTTTCCCTTTTCTCTCATCGGATCATGTTACTATTAAATTGTGTGTTCACTTGTGCTATAACCATTTATTCATCAATTCAGGGATGATACAATTGAGTCATGATTGGGTTAATACAATTTGTGGTTTTGTTGATCTTTTTAAGTGGCCCCCACACACCATACAAAACTGTATGGGGAGCGGAAAAATGCACCTTCACCATGTGTAGGCAAAAATCCTAGCCTGGAGAGGTTGAAGACTGGTACAAGGGGGGCAGGGGTGCCTGCTGGAGAGGGTAAAGACTGGAACAGGGAGGTACTGGGGTGTCTGGAGAGGGTAAATACTGGTACATGGGGTCCTGGGGTGTCTGGAGAGAGTGGAGACTGGTACAGTGGGGCCTGGAGAGAGTGAACACTGGTACAGGGGTGTCGGGGGAGGGGGTCTGGAGAGGGTAAGAGGGTGTCTGGAGAGGGTAAAGACTGGTACATGGGGTCCTGGGGTGTCTGGAGAGAGTGGAGACTGGTACAGTGGGGCCTGGAGAGAGTGAACACTGGTACAGGGGTGTCGGGGGAGGGGGTCTGGAGAGGGTAAGACTGGTACGGGGGGCCTGGAGAGGGTGAAGACTGATACAGGGGGGCCAGGGGTGTTTGGAGAGGGTGAAGACTTGCACAGGGGGGCCTGGGGTGTCTGGAGAGAGTGAAGACTGCCACAGGGGGGCCTGGAGTGTCTGGTGAGGGTAAAGACTGGTACAGGGGGGCCTGGGGTATCTGGAGATTGTGAAGACTGGTACAGGGTGGCCTGGAGAGGATGAATACTGGTACAGGGGGTCAGGAGAGGGTGAAGACTGCAACAGGGGGTGCCCTGTAGCTGGTGGTATTCTGCATTGCTGTATAATGTAATGCTGGGATTTGTAGTCCTCTATAGCTGGTGGTATTCTGCATTGTTATAAAATGTATTGCTGAGATTTGTAGTTCTCTATAGCTGGTGGGGTTCTGCATTGTTATATAATGTATTGCTGAGATTTGTAGTCCTGTGTAGCTGGAGGGTATTCTGCATTGCTGTATAATGTATTGCTGGGATTTGTAATCCTCTATACAGGGGCAGAACTACTAGGGTCACAGCAGTTGCAGCTACGACCAGGCTCTATCATTCCGCCACTTGAGGGAGCCCTAACAAGAAGAATGGGGTCTCCGGTAACTGCTGTCATTGCCGTCCTTCACTCTGGGGCCCTCCATCCTTCACTCTGTGCCTGGACCATGTGTGTCCCAGAAACCACAGTAAAGAAAAAACAAAACAGTAATGTGCAGTGTGGATGACGCATTTTAATGAATAGTAATGTGCCACATGTTGTTTGGCAGAGATTTCATTCC